CGGTCTGGTCTCCTGATACTAAGCCACTCTCCCCACCCCAAGCCCAGGAAGAGCACTTGGAAAGGAGCCACGGGTCCCCAGCAGAAGCAGCCACCCCTCCACCTCCCAGGGCCAGCATTCCCCACCCAGGTCCCCCATTGTCTCGATGTGGCCAACATGTGACCTCGTTCATTGTTTTGGAAAAGTAGTAACTGTTCTGGCCTAATGACCCCCTCCCTGTCGAACCCAGAACCCAGACACACTCCATGTTCTTATAACTCCCTTGACCCAGGAAGTCAGCCTTCTCAGAGAAGCCTGGCATGTGCTCCCCACTCCGTGCCACACCCTTGCCCTTGAGCCAAGATCCTGCTCTATCCCTTTTGGCTAAGCAAAGTTGCAGCTGAGTGTTAAGTGCTGTGGAAGACCTTGCTACTCCTGTCTTGTTCTGGGCAGACTTGGGAATCTGACAGTGAAGGAAAAATGGCACCAGAATTGGACATCCGTGTGGTTTCTAAGGGAAAGAGGAGGGTAAGGAACGGAGTCAGGGATTCGGGTCAGTTCAGGATTCGGCCACACAAAGCAGTAAGGGCCCCAACCGAGCTGCCTCTTGGCTGGCTGTGAAGGGCTGGGCCCACCCCGAAGGAATCCGTAGTGAGGGCCAGTGCCCACCTGGTGTGGGGTGGCAACTAGCACCTGCCTTGGGTGCTGCAGTTCTCTGGAATTAGACCACCAGAGGCGCAGGGTCTGAGCCCAGCCCACAGCTAGGAGTTAGATTGCACTCCTGAGTGGAGTGGTCCAGTGTACTCTGGGGTCCCTCAGAGGCCAAAACTATCTGGCTTAGGACAAAAGAGCGGGCATCTCAGACAGAATTGTGGCTGAAAAGTCCCCTTTGACCCCACAGAGCTGAGACCTACCAGACCAGAGTCCTCCAGAGCAAACAGACTGTGTAGCTAGGCTGCTCCCTGCTCTGAGGCCAAGTTTCAAGCCTGTTGGTCACAGCCCTGGGCCTGGCCTTCGGAACTGCAGGTGGCCTCCTGGGTAGAGGTGGGGAAGTGCTTCTCTGGAGGCCTGAGCCAGACTCCACCCCAGTGGGGCCCGGGGGGCCTGTGGGGCAGAGCCTTATTGTCTGGAGTACCAGGAGGGGCAGGGGCGCTGATGGCTGCGCAGCAGCTGAAACTTTGCTGCGTCTTCTGTCAAGGTCTCCAGATGCTTTCTTGGCATAGGGTCCTAGTGCCCTGTCCCCGGCCAGCACTTCCCAGATTCCTCCCCAGGCTTTGGTTTCTCCCTTTGCAGACAGCCTGATATTGTAGAACCCACCTGTGTTTTGGGCATGGACAGATGTGGGTTGGAATCCAGCCTCCGCGCTGATTAGCTGAGTCACCCGTTGTGGGCAAGCCCCTTGTGTGTGTTGAGGGCTGGTTTCCTGGTCTGTGAACAGGGTAGGGGGCAGGGAGCCGTGCCCGAGTGAGGGCGCACAGGGGAGGCTTGGCACCGTCCCTGGCACCAAGTGAACACTTCACTATCCAGGTGGATCTGAGGTCTGTTCCGGTTCTGCTCACTTCCAAGCTTGGGGGTCACTCTGTGGGAAGGGAGGCTGGACCTCTGCCCCTTCTCTCGCCCTCATTCTCCATGCCCGTGCCTCATGGACTCTGGTACCTCCCCAGTTGGAATTAACCTCAGCACAGCCTGCACTGAGCCGGCAGAAGTGGGGGCTTCTTCTGCAAAAGCCCCACCCCAACTCCCAGAAAAGCAGCAGAAAGGGACCTCTGGGAGCTGCCTGGAGCTAGGAAACCACAGCCAGCCAGCTAGGCCTTCCTTAGACTCGGCCCCACAAGGGAGCTCTGGCCGGCAAATCGGAGTTGCACCCTTCAGAGTACCTTTACCTTGGGAAAGGGAGTACACCAGCACCCAAGGCCTTCAGTTTCTGTAACAGCGGGCAGAAGTGGGGAAAGTCCAGGGCAGAGTTCAGATGGATGTGACACCTCTTCCATATGGAAAGTAAGTGGTGCCTCGGATAAGAGACAGCATCACACAGGGCACACAAAAGCTTCTTGGATGCTTCAACCGGGCTGTGTGGAGGAGACACCTCCCTTCCGTCCAGCCACATACTCCTACCCTGTACAAGAGTGGATTTTTGGGTCTGGGCCAACAGTGGGGAAACCCCCTGTCCCCACTGGTACCAGAGAATGCCAACTTGAGCACAACCCAGCTCCGTGGACAAGGTGGCATCACTCCCAGAGAAAAGGACTCCACCTCCAACCAAGCTCACCGCTTGTTTCCACTGTGCCCTGGGCAGACCCCACAGCAGGCTTCCAGAGATCCGGAGCAAGCTCTTACCTGTGCATGCAGAGTCACAACCCCTGACACATGTGCACGGAGAGACGCTGAAAACTGATACACCAAGAAAGGATGATTTTCACTGTAGCTTCTAGCTTTTCTCCTACTACAAGTCGCTGAATAAGTAAACCAACCCAATTAAAGTAACGCCTTTGGTATAAAATAAGCAAACTCCTGTGGCTGAAGAGAAATGCCCTCAAATGTCTGTAAACTTGGCTCCTCGTGGGTATGCCTGAGTCTCGCTGGTGTACCAGAATTAGCCCTTTGATAGTTTAGCCCATTGGAAAGTGGCTTTTGATGACCATAATGTCACTGTAATCCAACAAAGCTCATCTTTTAATGCCTTCTAGCTCCTTCAACCAAGAGCTTCCATTCTGAGTGCTTGGATTGAAAATCTTGGAATTACCCTTAGGAAGCACTGACAAGTTCTGAGGACGATCTTATACTTTCAGGCCCAGATTTGGTTCAGATTATACTGAGGTTCATCCTTTTCAGACACTGTTTGCTAACAGGGTAGTCCCAGCTGCCATCACCTTTAGGTTTGACTTCTAGGCCTGGGCCAAGGACCAGTGAGATGTGAAGGGACAGCTCCCCAGCCTGTAAGATGTGGTCCCATCACACATGCTCTTCCCGGAGCCCAGCTGTCTTGTCATTTTGGGTGCAGAGTTTGGGGGGGTCTTTTTCTGGACATCCCAACGGTTTGGAACCAAGAATTAGAGATCAGATCTATCTTGGTTCTGGAGCTTGGAAGCCAATGGACAGAATTCTTTTCATATACATGTGGTACATTTTCATTAGAACTCGGAGGATTTGCATAGCTGCCTGGGACTTCATCAGACCCACACCTACTCTCCATCAGGGATCAGGTTCAAGGCTAAGAACAGTCAGAAGTAGACCCTACCATTTTGTTATGGGCTGCATCCCTTCCTCACCATTATTCTGCCTTCATTCCATGCCCCCAGTCATCAACCACTAGAAAAACACCCACTACAGAGCCTTAGAAGCCGTAAGAAGCTAACCTCCACAGTCTAGTTCGTAAGAAGTACTGGAGAAGCTGGAAAAGGCTACGTTGTCCATCTCCCTCTCCCAGGTGAGGCTACTTTCTTTTTTGGTATCAGGGGTCCTTGCATTTGTGAGGCAGATGGCGGAACTACTGAGCTAAATCCCTGGCCCAGTGAAGCTACTCGAAAAATCAAAGTGGACCTTATGAGGGATAGGGCTTGTGACTGACTGGGGTCTGTCAAAACACCAGTAGGAGCCCACCTGCCCTTTACCTGGCATTTCTGAGATCAAGGAATTCCCATTTCCTGAGCTTGGCACAGAGTATCACAGTGCAACTTTTGTCCACTTTTCTCATCTTTTTCTTTTTTCGTTGGTACTGGGGATTGAACTCGGGTCCTTGCGCTTGCAAGGCAGGCCACCAAACCACTGAGCTAAATCCCTGGCCTCTTCCCTTCCTCCTGAAGGCCTCCAGAGCACTGATCCCTGAGGTCACCATCCCAGTGGGGTCTGGGAGGATACGGGAGATGTGTCCCTGAGCAACTTTCACTGCCATGACGCCACTCCATCAGCAGTGTTGGGTGACCCAGCCACCTACCTACTATAGGGTGCTGTTCACACCTGGGAGAGCCAGAGACAGGGGAGATGCGAAAGCCCATCTCTACAGCAACTCACATTCCTGTGACTTGGGTCTTACCCAAGGGGGACTGTCATTTATTGGTGATTCCCTGTGGTTCTCAGACACTTAACGCTGATCAGATTCTGTGCACTATCTCAGCTGGAACTCTGGTAAGATGTTTAAAAAAATCTGCCTCATGCAAGTCTCTTGAGGTCTTAATGCATGGACCCATTTCACAGTACACCGAAGGGCTGGTATTCAGCACCTATACTATTAGTTTTTGTTTTTTTTTTTTTTTGGTACCTGGGATCAAACTGGTCTTTGTGCTTGTGAGGCAGGCGGCGGAACCACTGAGCTAAATCCCCAGCCTTACTGCTAACTTTTAAAATAGTAAAAGTCTCAAACTGGCAAGTAAATAGCCTATAAATCCCTGTCCTGTGTCTTCCAACCATCAAGCTCACCAAGATCTGTTCCCAAGCCAGTATATACTTGCACTGCCTAAAAACAGGAAGCACTGGCCACATGGGGCTAATTTTAATTAAAATTTAAAATTGGTCCTTATCGTGTCACTGACCGTATTTCAAGTGCTCAGTTGGCACACGTGGCTACCATATTGAGCAGTGCAGTCAGAACATTCCCATCACAGTGTTAACTGTACAGTAAGCCATACCAGCGCAGGCCTCAGGGACCTCTCCTGGCTGCTGCCGGTTCCTATTACGTGTCACTTTTTAAAGCAGCACCTGCATATTCCACAGGACCTAAGTCCATGGCACATTCCTCAGAACCTAACACCTACCTACCACTCTCCAGGCCCCTGGACCCAGGTGAACTCCTATAACTGTGGCTATAAAGTCAAGGACAAGCAAACTATGGTTATGAGAACAAGTCCCAGAGATGACTGCCTCTTCCTCCTGCCATCGTCTCTGACCGTAACTGAAAGCACTCACACTGACGCACCTCAGCAGGCTCAAGCAGGACGCCAGTAAGTCCCTCAGAACGTCCCCATAGAAGACCAATGATAATTTCTTGTTAAGTAAAAGACCACACTCCTTATAAACAATTGACTTTTTATAAAAAGATATATGTACATATTTACACACACATCTCTATTTGGTCACACACGACTCAAGTGGTTAGATGGCGTTTCTGATTCTGTCACACCACAACGCTCACACACCCCTCCCTGAGCCTGCTGAGGGCTGTCGGCGACTGAGGGGGTGGTGGGCACCGGGCAAGGCACTGTATAAATAAATGCAAAGCGCAAGAACTTGGGGAAAGTTAGTGTACACCTCGAGTAAGAAATGTGGCAAGGTCCACAAGACAAAGTGCCATGTTTCATCCAAGCCCCTCAGCCAGGGCAGGAGCAGGACGGAGCTGCTCTGGGGCTGAGGGGCACCGCCATGCAAGACCCCTTCTTTCTTCACATTTCACTGGCTTTGGAACAGTCCCCGGGGCTCAGCAGGGAAGGGAGGCGGTTCTTTGGGAGGAAGATCCACTTAGTGCAGTTGTCTCTCTTAGTGCAGAGCCAGCCCTGGGGTGGGAGCTGTGCGCCTCAGGTCACTGGTCTGACGGGGGGGGGGCAGGTCAGTGACAGCCAGCAAGACCCTCTCCAGCCAGCTGGGCCGAGACAGAAAAGCGAGAGGCCAACTCCCATCAAGGCTCCACCTGAGTCGCCCATCTCGGAACTCCAATGCCCTCTGTTCGCCCAGGAGGCAACGCCAGCTTCACCCCAAGGACACACCCAGCCCCTGGCCTGCAGGTCCCGCGTGTCCGCTGACCCAAGGGGGGAAGATGCCATCCCTGCTTGGTAGAGAGGGGGTCACGATTCGCTATGTGGAGGGGCCGCAGGGACCCCGCTTCTCTGCACCATAGCCACCACGATGCCAGGTCCTGCTTGCCTAGAGCAGTGAGAGGGGCTCAGGGACCCAGCTACGGTGCACAAGGTATGGCCTGGATGGAGGGCAGCCTGACTGGGGTCAGCATGCTGTCCAGCCAGCTGGGGTCCATGTTCTTCAGATCTGTGAAGACGCGCTGTAGGCTCAGCCCAATATCACCTGGAAGGGGGGAGAAGGTTGTACGAGCTGGAGAATGGGGGCAGAAGACGGGTTTCCCATGCCACCTACCGCTGAAAGCCACAGACACAGCCCCTGCCGTCCACACCTCGGCAGGAAGCACCATCGTCTTTATTTATTTATTTTGGTACCAGGGATTGAACTTGGGTCCTTGTGCTTGTGAGGCAGGTGGCAGCCCCATTGAGCTAAATCCCCAGCCCAAGCACCATTGTCTTTAGGTGACCCTCAGAGCAGCTGTCAGTACCCATCTGCTCAGTGAGAAGGATGCTTTACCTAACTGTGCCCTAGCCCTGCCCTCAAGCATTTCCCAACCCCATACACTTCTTTATTCAAGAAGTACTAAGGACCAGGGGAATACGGCATATGCCTATAACCCCGGCTCTCTGGGAGGATAAGGCAGAAGGATTTTAAAGTAAAGGCTAAGGCTGGGGATTTAGCTCAGTGGTCCGGTACAAAAACAAAACAAAAAAAACAAAAAAAGTAAAGGCTAACCTGGGCAACTTAGTGAATGGGGACTCTGAGGAGATAGTTCAGCGCAAAGGCCCTGCATTCAAGTATGGCAGGAAAAGAGAGAGAAGCTACAAGGCTCTAGAGGCTTCTTACCCCCAGGGCTGTCAGTTTCTGGCTCCTCCTTGCAGCTGAAGTCTCCATAGATAGATGTAGGCTGGGCTCCAGGTTCATTGAGCAGGTAGCCCTTCCCATCCACGCTTGTGGGCTGCCATTCTGACTGCTCCAAGAGCTGGGGGAAGAGGGACTATCAATTGCCTTCCTGCTGCCTGTTCTAACCAGGATCATACCCTTGGGTGCTGGTACTGCCCCTGGGGTCATTTTCTCCACTCCCCTAACCCTACCAACTAGCCCAGATTCTCAGTGACTTCCCTGAACTCTGTGTGTAAGGACACAGCAAGTGGCAGTGCAGCTTAAAGCAAGGTGAGCAGAACAAAAAGACAACCGTAAGAGCTAAAAAACTATGCCCACATCTCAATTTTCTGTGCTGCCAGGGGAGAGTCAAGGCAAAACCACCCCAAAACCTTTTCTTATATTCACTTTAACAATTGTCACAGAAAAAAAACTACAAGAAAAACTGATTTAAATTTTTTTGGTACTGGGGAATCAAACTCAGGACCAAGTAGGCAAGGTGCCACTGAGCTAAATCCCTAGCCCTGATTTAAATGTTTTTTAATCCATTATACTATAGATCTCAGAGGCTGATTATTGAAACCCCTGATGGGCATTTCCCAAGCTAACTGGGCACTTTGGGACGGAGGACACAGCCATGGTGGACCCAGTGCTGATGGTAGCTGACTCACAGAGCTGTCTGGGCCCCCGAGGCCTCCCCGCTGCCCTCCATTACCCAGATCTTCCGCACCAGCCAAGAAGGGCAGTGAGAGATATGTAAGCAGCCAGATGGTGACAGCAGCCGCCCACACTGATTTAGTGGTTCTCACTGGCTTGCTCTCTCTCCCCTAAATGAGAAGCAGCGACTCTGAAGGCGCCCAGGACGGAAGGGGCTTTACCTTCATGATGTCCTCAGGGATCTTCCCTTCCTCATCCTCATCTGTTGCAGCTGTGCACAGGAAGAGCAGAAAGGTTGGCTGGCAGTCGGCCATGTTTGCCCTGCACCTCCAGCCCCACAAGCTCCCTGTGTTCCTACACACACCACAGACAAACTGGACTGCTGCCTGCCACTGAGATTCCCCAACAGGACACAGGATGGGACTCAGCCGCCCAAACCCCAAAGCCACACCTCGCCTTACCCCTTCACTTCCTTCCTCACCCTGACGCTGGGCTGCAGAGGATTCAGCAGAACTAGCAACCTTTGACCCCATTCCCTCTTCTTGTTCCCCCACTGCAACCCTGCAGACCGCTTCCAATTGCCTTCCTGGTATCCAGGGCCTTGCCTCATCCACATGGGGGTACAGGGTGGGCACTGCCTGGCTCCGTCAGCTCAGCAGCAGGTGGAGCCTGAGCGTCTCTTCTCCCTCAGGCCCTTCCCGGAACTCCAACCGTCAAACAGGTCAGGCCCTGGCAGTACAAACCTTCAGACGTGGAAGGCATGGGTGACACCTGGAAGTTGTACAGGTCACTAGTGCTGTCTGGTATGATTTCCACAGGCAGGTGCCAGTCCGGGAGAGTGCTACTGACGGCACATGGTGACAGTGCTGGGGATGGCAGAAATCAAAGGTCAAGGCTGTGTGCTCTGCTGGCCTGCAAGATCCCCAGACCCCTAGTGTGCAGTCTGCTCTCGGGCCTCCGTGCTGCTAGCGTGATGCTTCCTGGATCCGACATAAAGCATTATCCCACGACCCATGGGTTCCCGGCCAACCCCAGCCCCTCACCTGGAGTAAGGGCCTGCTCCCCGTCCAGGTCCTGCCCCAGGTAGCCCTGGGCTGTGTAGCTGCTGTGATCATCAGGCAGGGTGCAGCTGCTGAGTCCATCGGAGAATGCGTCAGGGCTGGAATCGCCACATGACTGCAAAGGAAGAAGGCAGCTCAGGCCCACTGAAGCGCCCTTCCCTGCTCACCTCACTCCACAGGGACCGAAGGTGTGGCTGCCTTTGGTCACACTCACCTTCCTCTTGGCCTTGCTCTTAGCATCGCGGCTGGACTTGGACTTTCTCTCTGTGAGACAGACAAGCTGTCAGCTTTGGCAGAGGCAAGCCAGCCCTAGATGAGCCTCTTCCTCCCTCCTGAGGACTTCCAGAGGACCCAGAACCTTTGGCTACCTTTCCTCTGGTTCTTAGTGAGAGGTGGGAGCATCCGGTACACCCGAACGGCTGAGCTGCCCTTGTTCCTGCTCTGGTCCTTCACCTCCTCAATGTCTGGCAGGGAGTTCATGGCACAGCGAAAATTTGCCTTCCATGTCTTGGGATCTGGCTCCTTTTCCCCTGCTTTGTATCGGCCTGGAAAGCAAAACAAGGAACTGGATCATCAGCTGCCCCTGGCTTGAGAGGGAGAAGGCAAGAGCACCCTGGACACCCACACTGGTAAAACCAGCAGGTGTTCCCAGCCACTCTGTGGGCCCTCGGCCACAGAGCCTCTCAGATAGCCAGGCTTGGCTCCCACATCCAGCAGGCTCAGCCAAGGACACAGGGAGAAGTTCTAGAGCACTCCTAGGCCACATGTACGGCCTCCTGGACCATGTCATCTCCCTGCTTGCACCATCAGCAGCCAGAGGCTAGTTCTAACAGGTGGCCGATGGTTCCAAGCTGGGCCCTCTGCCCAAAGGACAAAAGGAGGCTGCCAGCCTTTGTGCCCAGAACTGTGGTCAACACCTGGAAAAATGAAAAGGGGTCTCTCTTTCAGCTCACAGGTGTTGTCTCCGGGCAGGACTTTCATTCAGCCACAGACTATCCAAAGACACGCTACGATGTTGGCTATGCAAATCCTTTTGAGGATTTGTAGAAATGATGGATTGTGTCTTCCAGAAACACAGATCTGTCCCGCGGACCCCTCCCTGCTGATTCTGTACACTGACTAAGGGAGTGCAGAGGCCATCAAGAGCCTCTGTGTGAACACCAGGGCCACCTGGCTCTTCCCCGGGCCTCTGGCCAGTCCCTAGGACACACCTGTATGAATGGCCCAGCTGCGGAAGAGGCAGGCGTCCTTATTGATGTCCCAGCCATGCTTGGCCGCATGCTTCCACGGGATCTGGAAGATCATCTCCTCCTGAACAACACACAGCTGGGTCAGCTCAGAGACCACAGGCTTTGCAGTTGAGCGTGCCCAGCCCCCACGGTCTGGGAAAAGGCTGACTTCCCCTTTTCACCCTGACATCTGCCATGGGTTGACCCGCCTTGAGTGGCCCAAACAGGCTACTCGATCTCTCAGGAGGGGCACAAGTGCTGATAAAATGTGACACCATCAGCTCAGCACAGCCCCCTCAGCCTGACACAGATGTGCGGGGACCCACACAAAGCAGCCTCCCCCACAGCCCTGGTCTGAGCCCTGGGATGCTTCTCTCTGGCTTGTCAGCACCAAAATGGAAGACATGTTCCAGACACCTGGGACCACGGGCTTATACACATACATGGGGTCCTGGTCACACCCTTGAGGGAGCCTGGACTTGAATGCTGACCACCTGTTGACTCTGGCCCTATATCTCCTCACCCCCCACAAATTTCTCTCCTCTGAAATGGAAAAAAAACAAAAAAAAAAACAAAAAAAACCAAACAAACCCAAAAACCAAAAAAACAGGATCGCTGCCAGGAATAAACAATACAAAGTGGGATCCTGCTCAGCAAGGTGCCTGGCACATAGTTGACTGTTCGCCCTTATTTTATCAGTTATTGCTACTGTCTACAGGCTTCACGTTGCCCTTCTCGAGCCAGAGCAGCTGATGCAAAATTAGCTCTTGGGTCCCCCGCTGAGCCAGCCGCTGTCCTGCCCAGCAGTGCCCACCTGGCTGTCTGGCTGGAGCCCTAGAGAATGCTGGGCACGACAGGGCTCTCCTTCAAGGGAGACAACCCAAGCGTTAAAGACGCTAGGAGACCCTTGCAGCTGGAAATTCCGAGGTGCCTGTAGGTGGGAGTCCTGTCCATATTCTGAGATGGGAAAGAGGGAAGAGTTGGACAAGCAGGCACGAGTCTGGGCGTCGCCACCAAGACCCAGGGCCCTGTACCTGTCTGCCTCCTTATCATCTCCCTTTCTGGGTTAAAAGGGTAGCAGAAAACCCCAAAGAGTTCCACTCACTTTATTAATCCAGATCAGCCCTGGGATTTGGTTGGAATTAATCTGCATCTCTAGCCAGGGTCTCATGCGCATCCGAGTGATGGGCATGGTGGCTGTAAAGAGAAGACAGAGGCTCCCGTTTGGAGTCTGTTGAGAGGTCCCGCATCACCAGGCCCCGCCCCAGGTCACTTAGTTACCCTCCCCTTCCCCTCCCTGGGTACCCGGTCCTAACAATCACGGGGAAGGGAGCGGCACTGCAATAAAACCGCTCTCCCATTCCTGGGGGAGCATTTTGGGAAAAACACCTGCCCCTTCCCTCCCCTCCCAGCCATTCTCAGGAAGAAATCGGCAAGCAAGTGACAGCTCCAGGACTTATGTGCCGGAGGAGAGACAAAATGCATGGTATCTTAACACCAAAACTTTTCCCTCAAAATTCAAACCCCTTGGGGATGGAATGGCTCCTTTTGCTTGGTGCCAAGAAAACATTTCTGGCTTGAGTTGTTGCCACTACCTCTGCACCTTCCCTAACGGCCCACTTTATATCCTGGACGCCTCCCCAAACTACGACGCCCCCCCCCATTCTCTGCCTTCCTGACAGCCACAGAGCCCTTAACCCTAAGGCCGGGACACAACCCCTACCGGAAAGGCCTGGTTTCCCCTACTCGAGAGAGAAGGGGCCCAAGGAACACCTGTGGCGTCTTTGCCCGCAGACCCCCCTTAAGAAGACCCCCTCCAACCTCTCAGGGTGGCGAGCACACGGAGCCCAAA